CCGTTTTTTACCCAATGATTTCACCTAATGGTTATGATTTCACCTAATGGTTATGATTTCACCTAATGGTGAAAAAACGGCCAAAACCGCGAAAAAATCGATAAAAAGGAAAAAAAATAAGTCAAAAATTTTGCGAAAATATTTATTGTTGGGTTACGGTAGCACTCGTTTTGCCGGCTGTGTTTTCGAAAATTCTCATTGAAATACGGTGGCCTAACTTGTGTGAAAATTCGGCCACAACTCCAATTTTTTTTTTGCACAAGAATAATATACAAGAATGCAGAAAAGTTCTGAAACGTCGAGTTCTGAAACGTCCAGGAGCCGTATTTTAGGTCTTGAAAATTGAATTTTTTCGAACTTTTTCATATTTTTCTACAATGCGAAAAATTGTCTGAAAATTCCAAATTTTCTTATACCTTTTAAAATCACAATATATTCTCTTCTTTTTGAATTTAAAATTTTTTCTTCAAATTCAAATTTCAGACAAATAAAAACCAACAAAAAACAATGCGAATCTGGTCGAGTGAGCACACTTTTGAGTGGGTTTTTTTCTTTGATTTTTAAAATTTGAAACAAAAACAAAAATCAAAAATAAGCTCAAAGTTTGGCTACAACTCAAAAAATGACGATTTTGAGCTGAAAACGTATGATTTTCAGGTCAAAAATCCAGATTTATAGCTCAAAAATGACGATTTAAGTCAAAAAAAAAAATCACATTTTTGAACTCAAAAATTCGAAATTTCGGCTAAAAAATCCCCAATTTTCTGGTCAAAAATGACGATTTTGGGCTGGAAAATGACAATTTTTTAGCTCAAAAATCACGAATTTCAACTTAAAAATTAAGGATTCCTTTTCGGTCGGACGAAAATCGCCGACCGCCGACCGACCACCGACCGAGCTGACCGATTTCGTGCCTTTGCGCATAAAAACACGAATTTTTGCGTACGAAGCACTTTATTTTACGACAAACGAGGCTTTTAGTGTGTAGTTTGTCGTAAAATACAATGCAGCGTATGCAAACACGTTGACGCGCAAATGCACGGAAACGGTCGGTGGTCGGTCGGTCGGCTAAATTTTTCGACCGAATGGAAGCCTTACTAAAAACGGCTCCGCGACGTTTCGAAAGTAACAGCTTTGCACTTTTATGCATGGCACGCTCTCCCACAGAACTATTCCGAACTGCAAATTAATTTTTGATCTACCG